AAAAGCATTAGAAATAAAAGAGTATAAAAGAGATAAAAACCTCAATAGAAGCAATAACTCTACAGGACCTGAAGAAACAGCTCAACCAAATAAAGCAAATGTAGACATTGACAGTATAGTAAATGGACTGGCAGCACTTAGCATCAATTGGGTTGAACAAGAAAAATTGAATCGAAGCGAAGTTGAAGACATGGTTAAGAACCTTGTGACTAAGACCGTGATGAATTTAAATAAAAGACACAATCAACCACACAATAATAAGCCTAGGATATGTTATTTGTATTGCCAAGAAGGTCACATTGTCAAAGACTGTTCGAAACATGATAAAGAAAATGATCAGATCAACAAAGGCATCACATTCAATAATGCCGATATATGTCTAGTTGAATTCACAGAAACAAAATTTGACGAAAGTGGTGAATATTTAAAGGTAGAACTAGTGGGTAATAATTCATGTGATAACATTTGAGCATTCTATAAAAGGAAAAGAGGCAAGGATAATAATGAACTAGCAACTTTGACAAATAAAAGAGGAAAGATCCTGTAAGTTGTACATGAAAATGAAAAACTGAAATGCTACAATAATGTGATGTACATACCCTTTTCTGAATTAACTGTGAACTCAACATCTTAAAGAAAATATCAGATATAGAGATAACGTTTACTCTGGGACAATTGTTTAAGTAGTCGCTGAAAGCCAGAACAGAAATAATGAAGGCGTTGACACAATGAAAAAAGGATAAAATGAATGATCAAAATGCAAAAATTAGGATCGTTTGCAGAATCATGCAGGATAACAAACCAAAATTGGGTGAAGTTGTACCTGTATAGACAGTAAAAATAAATGGTGAATCAGTTAAAACACCAATTAACCCAGGATTACATATAAATATAATGTTAAAAAGGTTTGCAGTGAATAGAGAGTTAACGTGAAATCATATTGGAGAAAAAGGCAGAATGGCAGACAATAGAGTCAGCCAGTTTGTAGACTATATACCCGAAGTTGAAGTTGATATAGAAGAAATAGTTGTAAGTCAAGGATTCTATATGATGGAAATGGCAAGCTTTGATGTACTGTTGGGCATGTCTTGGAACACAAAAGCACAATGTACCTTGGGCTTTAAAGGTACAGAATACTGGTGTACTATTTCATCTCCTTCACGATCAGCATTATTTGTAGTATCAATGGTACCAAGAAGTTGGATAGATGAAATACAGATAGACAACTTTGTTGACGATAGTGATAGTAATGATATAAGCAATTATGATGAAGCTGATGACGTGATAGCGGTACGAAGAATGGAAATAAATGAATTAAAAAAAATATATGAGAATATTTCAACACAAAAAATTATTGATAAAGTGAAAAATAGGCATGGTGTGAAGGCACATGAACTTAAACCTATTGATTGTGAAAATCTAAATAGTCTACCATTTTACAGTCGAATAAATTATTGGGAAATGAAAGATGAGCAAGACGATGATACTATATCAGAAAAAGACACACTTGCAATATCAAGACTTATGATGGAAAATAGTTTACTACTAAACTTAGAACCTCTAGTTCAAAATGAACCAATAAGAACAATTATTATAGAACGACTAATGAGAAAAGTCTCTGAGGTAGGGTGAGGAGCATGAGGTTTATGGGCATGCCCTTTTGGGCATGCCTCCGGGCATGCCTTTAGACTGAAAGACATGCCTATATCACATGACTAAATATCTATACTATTAAATACCAATTCACTTTTTGCAATCTGTGAATTTGGAACATCATGATCACTAAGCTGTTCAAGTTTGTGAATATTTTTATTGTAAGTAGAAACAGTTTAAGGCACTCAAGTTCATGAAAGTTACAATTTATTTTTTGTTTGTGATAATTTAGGTGTGAGTATACTTGTTGGCAAAACCCGTACAAATCTCAAATTTCAAAAAAA